TTTTCTGTCATTGGGCAGTGGCTACACCAAGTACAAATGCTTTATCTTATATTGGCCTCATTTAAATTCAGCACGGCTGGGCCTGCCACACCAGCTGAAATACGTGAGATTCTTCTCGAGGCAGTTGGCACATCTCTGGCTGCCTGCTGTTAGTGAGCTCTGCTCTCAGCTGAGTTCTCTGGGGCAGCAGCCTTGCTTCCAGGAGCTAGGGGAAATTGTTATCCCAACCGACACAAACTTGAAATCTTAAAAATGTTTCCATTCTGTTTCAGAGAAAAAGAAGTTAAATTTTCAAATTCTGTGAGTCTTTAACCCAAACAAAACAAAACAAAAAATAGATCGGAGTAGTTGCAATTCACCTCAAATTCACCCCTACGTATTTTGATAAATTAGTATGTATTTCTAGATAGCAAGTCCAGAACTGCAAGTGCAATGTCTCAACATCCTTATTTCTGTTTACAAGATATTTCAAAGGGTGATTTTATTTTTTGAACAGTAAGAAGCCCACCTTCTCAACTGTTTTCATTAAGAAATTATGACAATGGAAACTATCTTCAAAAAAGTTCTCTTCTACTCCTTTTATTAAAACATCTTTATTTCTGTTTACAAGATATTTCAAAGGGTGATTTTATTTTTTGAACAGTAAGAAGCCCACCTTCTCAACTGTTTTCATTAAGAAATTATGACAATGGAAACTATCTTCAGAAAAGTTCTCTTCTACTCCTTTCCCATGCTATCAAGACACAATTTTGGGAACCTGGCAGGCCTGTGCAGTATTTTAACTCCCTGTTGTCCTCTGTCAACCCTTTTCCAAGCAGTTGAAGACAGGAAAGAAAAAGCTTCTGAATGGCAAAGAGTTCACTTGAAATTGATCAAGTACAAGTGGGAAGTTTAAGCTGCAGATGGAAAGAATGAGTGTCATTCTTCACTGTAGTGTTAAAATTTTCACAGTAGAGGCAGTTGTGTTTCTATCCTACATGTGAGTTTACCCCTGTTTTATTTTGTGGATCATCTTTATTGGACTGAGTATGAAAATTATTTCTGGACTCTGCAAAGTGTGTGTAGGGTTATTGTTAACTGCTGTGCCCTGTTGGAGGCTTGTAGTTTAAGCTGCAAATTCATGTGTTCTAGTGTTCAAATAAATTGTCATTAACATGAGAAAATATTGCATAAAGAATATCTGCGTCAGAGATACCAATATTAGTAGGTTAAGCATATTAATTTAAACACAGACCCCTTCTACCTCAAATGTAGATGCTTGAACTTGGTCAGCGGATGCCATGTTTAGTTCATTTCATCAGTAGCTATAATGATCACAGAGTAGCACATTCTGAAAATGAGTGCTGCAAAGCACTGGAGGCAGTTGAATTTTGAAGCTGTCTGGGTTGGTAAACTATTTCACTGTAAAATGGTTTATTCAAATATCACCGTTGTCTCCTAGTGGGAGCAGAAACTGAACTTTTCATATTCTACTTTTCATATTTTACATATGAACTTTTTCATATTCTACAGCATTTATAATGACCTTCACAGGTGACACCAGGACTTGTAGGTTTTTTTTAACTTGGATATTTTGCTTTGCTGTCATAGGTAAGCCACTTTAAGAGTCAGTGTTGGAGAAGAACTTAACATTTGGGTTTGCACATAAATTCTTACACTTTATAAGCATACCTCTTTACAGTGTTCTGAAATAAAATGAGCATTTATAATTGTTATAAGCTGTTGTTTTTCTCCCTAAGCATTTGAAGGTTTTAAAGACATTCAAAATGGATATTGACTGCATCTAATACTGGATCTGACTTCCATAAGTGACATAAATGCCATCCTGCAGGACAGCTACAAATGGATGCAATTTCTTAAATTATTTCGATGGGAACCTGCTCATGTTTTAGTTTTGCTAATTCTACAGCTTTTCTGTGTCATTTTGACCTTCATCCTGTAGAAAAGGGATACTATCAATTGCACAAGGATGTCAGAAAAATGAAATAATGTTTGAAGATACAAAACATTGTGTAAATAATAACATTCATATTTTTAATAACAGTGCTATGATTAGTTCTGCACAAGCTAAAAGGCTCCTAATACAGTTACAAAAATACTTCAATCTTTTGATGTGCTTTAATTGTACAAAACTAAATTCTTATAATTCACTTAAAATAAACAAAAAAAGAAAAAAGTGTTTTGATCATTCAAACCTGTAGCAGAATGATAGAAGTGCAGCATGTAATCTTCAACAGTATAATTATTTTAAATATAAAATACCAAATAAACACGGAAACTGTTCACTTGTGAGTTCAGCATCAGCAGCAGAGCAATCCAATGCCTGTGCTAACCATTTATTAATTAGAACAAGCAAATCCAACAGAAACATTTCCTAAACAAAAGCAGTAATCTACAGGCTCTTCCTAATTACTACCCTTCCTCATTTGCCATTCTTGCCTGCTAGTGGGGATTTTCAGAGCTTTTCTGCCTTTTGCTTTTCTACCATTCTTCATGACATTGATATCTTTCTCCTATACTTTTTTTTGTGTGCTTTCTGACCCTATGAGTTGCTCAATGTACGGGTGGTAGTAGGGCTGACCAACAGTGGATAGACAACGTGTGCACCATGTAAAGCTCAGAAGACATTATTGTGACTCCCTGAGACTGCAGCAGTAGACCTCTTTGGACAGAGAAGTAGGGATGCCCCGAAGACCCAAGACAACTTCTTAATTTTTAATTATTTTAAAAAATTTTTTTTAAAAGTTGAGGAGTGAATATTGAGATAAATCCATGGAATCCAACAGATGAAAAAAGATTGACCTAACATTAGAGACTCACTTAGCAGATAACACTTCAATACAGATGCAACTGTCAAAAGAAATTAACGTTTCCCTAAATTCAACCATTAAAAAATATCACGGGTTTATCCTTCTCAGAACAATAAAATGGCAGTGACTCCAGTTTAAGTATGAAAGAGAATCGTGATTCATTTTTGTAACATCATCAAGACAGTTGTTACTTTATTGATGGGCTTAGAGAGCTCATATTGTCACGGGCAGCCGGTATTGCTGTTGGTCCATGGGACAGTTATTGGGACGGTGCTGGAAGTGCAGGGGGAGCTGGCAGAGGGAATTGCTTCAGGGTCAGGCAGAGCTACCTCCTCCCAGAATCCTGGAGCGAGTGATGTGAAGGGAGGTCCTCAACGCAAATGCAGTTGAGCCTCAGTCACATTTCTTTTCTTCTTGCTGGTTGGAACAGGCAGGCAGTTGGGCACATTTTCCACTTCTGAAATTCATTGTAGTACTTGGCACGTTTGGTGTTTGACTGAAGAATTGAACTGGCTGGAATTCTCCCTGTTCCAGATGGCCAACTTCATGGTGTACTTTGGGCATAGATGTAAACAACACTGTGTAAGCTAACGTAAACCAGCACAGACCCTGCTGTGACTGGGCTTACATACCATAACTTGATGATTAAACTATTTTTGCAATATAACTGTCTCATACAGTGTTAAAAAGAGGTGTTCCCCTGTTTATGAAATTGGTTTTCTCACAAAGGCTTCATCCATTGTATTTTGGTTAAATTTCATACTAGAACTGTACATAGTATAAATCCTGTGCCCAGTTGCCATTGATTTAGGTGGGAATTCCTAATTCCCTTGAGAAATTTTGAATTTCCTAATTTAAATGTATAGAGATTTGGCAGTACTGCCTCCTACGTTAAAGTTCAGCAAAACATCTTGACTTACACACAGGATGGAAAGGAAACGGCAAAAGGCGTGTGCTTGTATGATTCCTTAAATAGGAATGGATATAAATCATGTTCTTTGGGAATTTTTGTGATTAATTTTGAGATCTTTAGAAGACAGAAGGTACAGGACAGAAGCACGGCAATTTCTTTACTTTTTTTGGGGGGGGGACCTGACTTTCTCATTGTACTGTTAATTCCCACCATTTTCATTGTAAAACAAATATTTTAGCAGTCTCTTGATTATGTTATAAATTATTTTAAGCAACTGAAGAATTATTAAAATGCATTAGGTTATAAATTTTGTGGATTGCTAGCTCATTTGTATTATCTATCGTCGCTATTTGGATAAAGCATGCAATTAGATTTATGGATACAAAGTAGTTAAACACAATCTGAGGAAGAAAATGCAAGAGTTTTCAAAATATTTAAAATATATGCCTATTTCTGGTGTTCTGGAAGTGGAAGTAAATGTAGGTAAATTTATAAGGTATAATTTATTATAGTAAGTAAATAAGCTTTCTTAAACTCCCTCAACAGTTGGCATTAACTAAAGCAGAATAAAATATATTCTTTCTAATAAGAACTAAATCATGCACAATTGAACTTGTGTTTACTAAAAACATGGTTTTCCCCAGCTCAGGTGTGATGGAACCCAAGGTAAAAGCTTTCACAATGGCTTTTCAAACTATAAGAACAGGGGACTCTTCCCTTTTGAGAAGATACAGAAATAGTGTTATGATACTTTGGTTATCAGCCTGATGTGTGTGGGGAGGGATTAATTTCCTTTTTCTTTTTTTTTTTTTTTTTTTTTGAGAGCTGTTTTCTTATTACTGCAATTGGTCCTGATTTGTGGGGGGGGATTTATTTCTCTTTTTTTTTTTTTTTTTTTTTTTTTTTGAGAGCTGTTTTCTTATTACTGCAATTGGTCCTGATTACAAATGGAGTATCTGGTTGCTGTTCTGGCTCAAATGGAAATGATACATGTCAAATTTTAGTGCAGCTATAGCCAGGTGATAGATAGTGTTAATTGATGCCATCCAGTCTTAAAGCAACATTACCTTACCTGTCTTTACTACAGCACATCTTCCTACAACTTCATGCGATTACTAAAAAGTTCTAATGTAACTTTGATAAAAAAAAAACAAAACCAAGGCAACTGTCTTTGAATGTAATTTCCTGTACCTGTATCCCAGCACATTTAATACTAGGTCTCATTTGTCAAAACTGAGCAAGCAGATATCAGCAGCCTGTGTATCTTGGCATTTCAGGTGGGGAAATGGGAGAACAACTCCCTGAGCCTGAAGTACTCCGTCTGGCCGAGGTACAGCTCTTTTGCAGACAGCGACCCAGACGATAACCATTTGAGTATTGTCACCCTGGAGGAGGCTCCCTTTGTCATTGTTGAGGATGTGGATCCTTTGATGGAAAGTTGCCAAAAAAACACCGTGCCATGTCGTAAATTTGTCAAAATTAAGTAAGTAAATATGTAACATTCCTTTTTTTTTTTTTTGAGTGCAAAATATATTCCCCTGTTTTCTCATTAATTCACTCCCTTCTTTAATTATATAATTGCTTTCTGATACTTTGCTGTCCTTTTCTTCTTGCTTCCTATATTTGCTTTTCCTTCTCCATTTCATTTCCTCTTTCTTTTTCCCTTTCCCACACGGTATGCTTTTGTTTGCACATCTTCCTTTTTAATCAGTTGAAATGTTCTGGTTATATGCATGTAAGTCACATTGAATTAATGACAAGATAGTAAGTTTATAGGAAATTCAAAGTCAACTAGAATTAGCCGTTTTCAGTCACACGGAAGAAGATCGTGTTCCAAAATTGGATTGTTTTAATGAGTCCTCTTTGAATTGTTTCCGGTTATGTTGAAATATGCCTGTTTTAATTAGTCTTTAACAATTGGAGAATGTCTCCTATTGAAAATGCATGTTTATGCTGAAGTTTGGTACAGGATGAACTACTCCACTGTAAAACACCACTGTGACATACCACCTAGAGAAAAGTCCCCTGCTTTGATTGCTCTATAACTTTGGAGTAGTCATTAGAAATCAGTGGAAAATTTTTCATTGTGCATTTATCAGTATTGTTTCCCCTGTTCTGTGCTTCAGTCTACATATTTCTGAACTGAATATAATAGTAACAGCATTTTTTTACTGGGCAGATGTTAGGGAATATAAGGTATGTTTCTGAACATTTGCAGAGACTGGTTGTCCACATTTCCTAAGTCCAGAGAAACTTTTTTTTTTCTTTTTGACATAGCTAAACTCAGTCAAGTCAAAACTATTTTCTATTTCAATTTTGAATTCTTTCAAAGTCCACAAAATATCACATTGGCTTATGAAGATGCTTATGCTGGAAACTTCTAGAGGTCATGAAATGAGCATTTCAGAAAAAAGTAGGAGAAAGTCACCATCTTTGCATTCAAAGGTGGCCTGAAGTTCACCTTCTCAAAGTGCAGAAAAAGGTGCAGCATCCATTCTCATTACGGTCAACTGCTGTGCCTTTATACAGCTTACGTGTTGGGGAGTTCTCTGGTTACTAAATGACACGTAGTCTTATGTCTTGAGAGTAAAAGTAATGAATATTTAATCTAAGCTTAAGAGAGAGATTAGTAAGAGGAAACTGTATGTCTTGATGGAGGAGTGAAGTGCAGTCGGCTGGATACTGCAGCAGAGAGTGTGTCATACAAGGTCTACCATTATCTTCTATTTATCTCCCTGTGTTACGATTAGTAAGAGCTACAAACACCATGTAAAGCATCCTCTGAGTTATTCAGAAAAACATGGTCACTCACAAGTGCGACAAAATGTTGTTTCACAGTATGCTAAATCTTGCTCTTACGGTTCTTCTGTTTTTCCCAGTAGAAACATTTATGTCTCTGCTTTCTGTTGACAGCAACTCAACTAATGAGGGAACTAACGTAAAGAAGTGCTGCAAAGGATTCTGCATCGATATCTTGAAGAAGTTGTCTAAAACTGTCAAGTTCACATACGACCTGTATTTGGTGACTAATGGGAAACATGGCAAAAAAGTCAATAATGTGTGGAATGGAATGATTGGTGAAGTAAGTTCTGTTAGGTAAAAGAGCTCTTAAGTAAGAACTTAGCAACGTTTGTTTTTAATTCTTTTGGAGAATTGAGGTATTCTCTACTGAGTGGTGTCTTCTCTTTGTGGCTCAGGTGGTATATCATCGTGCAGTTATGGCTGTGGGGTCTCTCACTATTAATGAAGAGCGCTCTGAAGTGGTTGACTTTTCAGTGCCATTTGTTGAGACTGGGATTAGTGTCATGGTGTCACGGAGCAATGGCACAGTTTCACCATCTGCTTTTCTAGGTATGATTCTCCAACTCCTCCAGATCATTTAATTGCATTCCTCTAGAGTTGGGTAGGTTCATTGGTTGTTAAGCTCTACAGTGTATCGACATGTTTCTGTCGAGTTTTGAATTTTACATTTGGAAGTTTGTACCGTGTCAGCATGCTGATTAACATGATTATTAGAGCATTGGTACTGTTGGTTTCAAACGCAGTAAGTGAAAACCAATGATAGTGCTTTCAGTATGAAAAAGAATCCCTCAAAATCCTCAGTTGGGAAAATTACTTTGTCAAAACCTGCTTCTTTACAAACGAATTTATGCTTCTTTAGCCATTATAAATGGTTTGATATCTTTTCCACTCACATTTACAAAATAATTTTAAAACCCCTTGTAGAACAGTTAAGAAAAAGAGACTTCCTTATGATTAGAGGAGATCTGACAGCTACTTTGGTAACAGTTACTTCTGGCTTCTGAACCCCGTAGTACTGCACTGGCGAGCTGCTGAGTGTTTTCTCCATTGATGTAGTTGAACAGGGGTGATACAGCAAAGAAATCAAAGGCTGGACAGAAAGATGATGGGATATAGGGAAACAAAGACATTGGTCTTCTTTCCGTATTTGTTTCTTGTTTCAATTGTTATTTCTCCTTTTTTTATTTCCCTCTCCTTCTCTTTTAGTGCTTATTGTTTACTTTAATATTTGGTGGCTAGCCTGAATTTACCTGAAGCTGAAAAGAGAATGAGCCATGAGATAGATCAAAAGTACCTGGAATGTTATGCTCCTCAGAGTGTATTTGGGCCAAGTGTTTATAAAGATATTGTGCACAGGAAAACAGTGCTAGTGACACTAAAATCCTTTGAGTGAAATTGAACAAAAATATCAGTATTTTCCAGTTATCTTAATGAACAGTTTAGTATGTTCAGGTCCGTTGGGTCAGTGGTGAAGCTAATTTTGCAGCACTGATTGGACGGTTTCTTTTTAGATTGCTAAGTGTAAGTTCTTCACTTCCACTGAAATCACATGTAACCATTGAGGAACAGATTGTTGGAGTAGCTTCAAGTAGGCAAATAATCCAGTTTTCTTGCACAAAAATCATCATTTAGCCACAGAGCCTGTTTCTCATACCTGTTCTGTAAAGGCACATTACAGAGATGATGCAAATAAATATAACCCAGTGAGTATTCAAATAACTCCCAAACCCAATGAACAGATTTTGGTGGTGGTTATTATTTTGCTTAATGAATGAAAGACTTTTTAATGAAATTACAAAAGGCTGTATTTTTAATGAAAACATTCAGACAGTGGCTTTTCATTTCTGTAAGTCACTGACTTGTAAAGTTAATTCATTTTTAAAATTGCAGTCGCAGCATGTTGAAATTATAATTCGAAACAGAAGTACTGGGGTGTCTTCTAAATGTGCTGCAAGTGCAGTTGTTTTTTATTATGGACTTTGCTTACCTCGTAAAAACCTGCTTACAGCTGCCATCAAAAGAGATGCTACTTTTGCATCTTTCACAACAACATAGTTATTAGTTTTCTAAAATGCATTTAATGTTATTGGTTTAGTTGGACATACATATAATTCAAAAAGTGAAAATAACCCCTTCTTATAAAGCTCTGTAGAATAGCATTGTTTTGGAAGAAATCTGATTTACTGCACCAATAAATCAAGTCTGTGCTCTCAGAAGTATGTTCTGGTTTTTTAGACGTAGATGAAACTGTCACTTTACTGGAATTGACTGTGTATTTCGATGTGGTGTGCAGAGCAGTAAAATGCTTTGCCAAGCAAAACGCTATCAGGCAGATAACTGAGTTTATTCACAGATAGAATTTGTTTCAATTAGGTGAATGTCTAAAAACAGAGTTACCTTACATAATTAGTTTAAAATATTTTTAAAAACATGTAAAATACAATATTTTTTTAAATTGGCACTTGATTTTACAGTTCATGAAATATCAATTTTTGTGATTTGTTACTATAAGTGTAGACAAGTGCAGGATTTTGTCTGAACTAGGATTCCTATTCAGTGGTTGTGTCCAATAGAGCTTCTTCCTCATTATCTGCTCTGTTCTCTTTCTGATGTGGATGTCTCCTTCAAAGGAGAATTTTATCCACATTAAAACATTTTCATATCGTACTAGAAATCCTATATAGTAGATGCACAAATAATGTTTTTAAAGAGTCTGTGGATATTTTATTCTACTTAATTTAAACAAACAAGCAAACAAAGGGAAACCTCAAATACAAATTTCTATATTTTTAAAAGGGAGAGAGTTCATAGGTGAGGTTTTCTCTTTTGGAGGCATTGGTGGAGTAGGAAATCTATGCCCCTGTTCATTTTATGTATTCTTTAAGCATTGTTTGGGTGGTGGGAGGTAAACTCGATGGTACCGGAGTACTGCATCTTTTTCATTGCTCAATATTCTCCATTGCCAATCATTTGAAATGCACACTGGCAAGTCATGTATTAGTATTTTTCTGCCATATCATAGGTTTTCCGAAAATTCTTATAAAACCTGCTGCTTGCCTGAGGGAAGTGCTCTTTCTGTCCTTTGAGAATCAAAGAATGGTGCTGAATGTGTAATTTGAGCTCTAATATGACAGGAAGATCGACTTTGTTATTCAATTGATTTTGTAGTTGTTCAATCTTACTGCTTGCTATTTTAAATAGCTTTCTATTTTCCTATTGCTTCTTTAATCCTCCACCTCATTACCAGACTGCTTAAATTATTAAAGACCATTCTGCTTAAACTGTTATTTTTTATAGCTCACTTTTTCACATCAGCTTGTTTTGCCCTTTGCCTTTTTAGATTTTGACAAATTACTATTGCTGTTTCTACACTGTTGCTTTTGATAAAACTCTTATCATGCTTGCTTTCTTCTATGAAAAAGCTCTCAAAATTGTATGATGGTTTTATGTGAATTCCAATTTATTCCAGTTAATATGTGAATTCATAGAATATTTATTGTTAACTGCATTTGGCTACAGAATGTCCTTTACCTGCCTGCATCTCATGGATCTTTCTCTGCCTTTTAAGAATTCTCATTTTTTGCTAACTTACTATTCTCTTTCAAACAAATAATTATAGTGTTTGAAATAACTTCATAACCTCTCTTAAAAATAAAATAACTTTAATATTTTTTTTTTAAATACTGTTTCTTACCCTTATCTTAAAAACAGAAAGAGAGCAGTTTGACTTAAAATTTTGCTGCCTTACCTTGTTAGTTCACATCCAAAATCACCAGTGGGGCTATTTGGAATTTTATCTTTTCTTGGTTCCAAATTTCTGAAGAAATTGTAGCAAAGGCAAATGATCTCATGAGATTTCCATGCTTGGACCCAAATTGTTACACTTCGTTCTGGTTCTGGGTTAACCATTCATGGTAACTCAGGCAAGGTTCAGACCAGGCTATTGGGTTTAACACACCTCAACTCTCACTCATGATTGTTTCCTGCAACGATGGAAAATGATGGAATAATGGTTCAAATCTTAACTTAAATTCACAGAATGAAGAAGTCGGAATGGAGGAACCTCTTGGGCTTTCAAAAACAGGCAAAGCATTGCAACATACTAACTTGTCACTTCGAGGGCTTCTTGATCCTGCCCTAATTTGCAAGAGTATACTAGGTTTTACTACCTCACTCTTCAGAGCACACTCACACTTGCATTTTCTATCAAAATGAGAATATAAAATGCCCCCAAATAAGATGACCTTATAAAGAGATATTACATTGTCATACAAAACCTTTGTTATGTATATCCTTGTACCATGACAGCTACCACAGGGATTCCTGAAATGGCAGAGAATTTGTGATTGGGCAAAGGCGTTATTTAAGAACTTTGTGTTATCACATGCTATTACCATATCCAGCACTTTCAAAAAGCTGCTGCTTAGTCTGGTATTTGAAACTGCTTTTAGTTTTCTGTTCCAACCTACTCCTTCTACTTAATCATGTTTTTTCTGTCTTTCAAACTGACATTCAGTTTTCCATAAAACCCTTTTGATTTCAGAAATTTACTCCCAGATGAGAAAGAGACTTTCAAAAGGATGTGTTTGCAATTGGTAAAAAACAACATCTTCATTTCAGGTAGATGAAAGTGAACACAAAGAGAAAAGAATTCTGAAACAAAAATAATTAGATGAATGCAAGTATTTAGCTTTTTCCCCTAATACTTTTTGTTGGCTAGAAAATGAGAGAGAATTCACTGAGTTACTAAATGTATTAAACATATGTTTAATTGCTTTTGCTCTGCATAAATACAGTCATAATGGTAAGATCATTCTGTTGATACATGCATGTAATATAGGATAAATAGAAATGGGTGACCTGATTGTAAACCCAACAAGCAGCGAGTCAAACCACTTTGCCACTCGGTGTCAGTTAAGGTGTACAGCCCTTCTTTTTTGAATTGCAGCTTACATTTAAGATTTTGACTGTATGAGTTTTGTGTATAGTTAGAGCAGTTCTTCATGTATTGCTACTTAATTATTTGCTAGCACTTTGGTTGGTAAAAGGTAATTTAAAGCAGGGCGCTGGGCTTGCCTAGCCAAAGGCATTAGAATTCTTGTGCTGCAACTGGTTTAATGAACTGTGTTTCTGTTTTTCTTGTCTGTTTTGCTGCAGAGCCTTTTAGTGCTTCTGTCTGGGTGATGATGTTTGTGATGCTTCTCATTGTGTCTGCTATGGCTGTCTTTATATTTGAGTACTTCAGTCCTGTGGGATATAACAGGAACTTAGCACAAGGGAGAGGTAAGCTTTGCATTTTACACAACCCTAAAGCCATAAAAAAATCATGTATTTCCCATCCTTTGCCCTCTATCTTTTAAAAACAACATAACATAGGAATAAAACAGTAAAAGCAGCTATGAAACAATGTTTGTTGTTAATTTAAAATGTGATTTCTTGTGGCCTCATGTGCTTACATTTGTATTCTAATTCATTGGCATAAAGACATATAGAAAGGTAAGTGATATCAGAGAGAGCTGTATTCAGGCAATGTTTGGTTAATATACTGTATCAGTTGTAAAGTGTCAACTTAAAAAAAACATTGGACTAAGTTCTACAGGCTCCTGACTTATGAATTCACACTTAGCTCAGAGATAATGATCTAACCTAGTGTGGTTTGGTGGATAATCTGGAAAAATAGCAGTTATGTTGAATTTAGTTTTATATAGTCACCATAAAAAGTGATTAACTCAGCCTTGAAATGAGGCCAGTGGCAGAAGGGCATCGCTTCTTTCTGTGTAGTATCCATGGTTATAGACACTTTGTTTTTAAAATATACCAGCACAACAAATTCAATACAGCACTTGCCTTTCACGGTGAAAACTGCAGTTATATATTATTAGCACTTTGACCTGAAAATGAGGATTCCATGTATTGTAGTGCCCTCATCCTTCCCTTTCTTTACTTACAGTTCAGAGTGCAGTCTGGTTTTAATTTCTAAATCATGCTTGCCTCATTTTGTAACAAGAGATCTTCCAGCTTGGTGAACACAGTTCTAGGGACTATTACAAGCTAATGGTTTATTCTAGATTATGATTGGTTTGTTCCCTGAAAAAGGAGATTACTGTAATGTTCAGATGATGTTATCAGTTTGGTAAGATGGTAACTGTATAACCTCTGTCCAAAGGAAACACTGTGTTTATGAAGACAAAATCAAAGGTGAACAAAGAGACAGGGGATCCAAGGGCTAGGCTGTTCTTTTCTGTGCCACCTCGTGTGCTGGAATTGATTATTTTGTGTACTTATGGCTACAAAGACATATTATGGTACTAGACCAAGCTAACTTAGCTCAGAAGACTTGCCACGAATCCAGCTGCCATACATTTGAAATGTGGGAAGCTTAAAATAAATGGGAATCTTTCTGTAGATTACTCCTTTCCCTAGGCATTTTTGGCAGGATGAAGCTCAGTGGTCGTACGATCTCCAGCAGCATAAACAGAACTTTAGACTGCTGTCTTGTCATATGCTTTCCTTGCTCAGAATATGCTCAGAAAATGCATATTGTCTTGGCATCAGCCCAGTCTTAAATGGCTCTAGAAGGTGCATCAGCTGCGTTTTACTGCATTCTATCTTCTTAGCACTTCTGCAAAATATAAGACGATAATCTAAGATGTTGTCCTTGATTACATTGTGAAAAATTTGCAGTATATTAGAGAGCATTGCCACTGAAATGAGAACAGAGTACACCCACTTAAGGTTTCATTCTTTTAATAGTAATTACATTATTATTAAAATAAATTATAATTACATTAATAATGAAATCAGAATTTGTAATGTGCATCCCCTTTGATAAAGGGGCAGAGAGGGAGGTAATATTACAGGTGTCTGCATCAGACCTTATTGTCTGAATTGCTATTTAATTAAAAAATACTTATATAAAGGTCAAATGAGTCACAGTCAGGGGAGGCCTGTTTCTCTCTCTATTGAGGATGATGGGAGTCTAGATGATGAGCACTATGTGATGACTGCACTGTACTTACCTAGAGCTGGGTAAGAACAAACTTCCCTTTATTTTCATAGCACTCTACAAATAAGGCATTTTAAGTGGATAAGAGCATTGCTAATCCCTATGTGGGCATGAGGGCATCATGCTGACCGCTTCTTCTTGCTTTGGGATGAATTTAGAATGGACTGAAAACAGGAATAACAAAAATTACAGAATGGATTAGCTGGGTCAGGTTTTCACCTGCAATGCCAACAGGAGCTGAGTCTGAAGGTGTGAGGTGCCAGAGCCTGGGTCGCTGTAAGTCATGTACCTGTGCAGGCAGCCGCTTTGGGTTGCCCTACTGATTTATCCTCTGAGTGCAAGCTTGCTTAGAAGTAGGTGATGTATTCACACACTTTGATCTTAAACATGCTTACATAAAGTTCAAAAAGCATGATGTTGGAAGACTGGAGAGGACACAAAATAATTTGTGTGAGAAAGGTACTAGAATTGAATTATTAACACCTAAATCCCCAGTTTTCCTTTTTACATATCCGCTGGCACTGATGACTGAAAGGGGCGATACAGTGGCACATACCTGAATACAAGAGCCATATCACTTTGCTTCTCCAAACCTAGGCTTTCCATGTTAATTTTAAAACTTGTGGAGTAAATGCGACATAGAAAAATGTTGAAATATTTTTTACAAATACAGAAATAAATGTCATTACAATAGAGAGTACCTATGGTAAATCTTGTGGTTCTGTTGGGAGCACAGTGAATATGTTCTGCAATATTTTTTAACTATATCTTTGTGAGTACTTTTTTGTTATTATGTAGAGTATCTTGCCAAGGTTTAATTTAATTGCAACATAAATAGCCGCTCTTTGCAATTACAGATCCCCACGGACCATCGTTCACCATCGGAAAGGCAGTGTGGTTACTCTGGGGCTTGGTATTCAACAACTCTGTGCCTGTGCAAAACCCCAAGGGGACGACAAGTAAAATCATGGTGTCGGTTTGGGCTTTCTTTGCTGTCATCTTCCTGGCTAGTTATACTGCCAACTTAGCTGCATTTATGATTCAAGAGGAATTTGTTGATCAAGTGACTGGACTGAGTGATAAAAAGGTAGGTCTTCAGCTCAAAAGAGGTCAGCGTCCATTCTTCATAATCCTTCTACAAATTTGTACTTTGTGTTAAAAGTACTCCGAGCAAGATATAAAGCTAAAACTGGATGGTTTGATTTTGAGTGTAAGCCTTTTTCTAACAAACCTAAAACCCAAAGCGTGAAAATATCAGACTGTTTTCAAAGCCTTTGAGTCACCTTTTCACAAGTTACTGCATGAATTGAAAAGTACCTTTCTGTCACATCATTTTGTGATGGAAATCAATTCCTGTTTGATTAAAAGGAATGCCTCACCAATATAAAAAATTTGAAAAATAAAAAAGTCAGCTTGAATGCAGGGGCATTATTTGAACATCTCTGTGTGGAATATTAATAATATATTAATAAAAAAAAAAATTATAAAAACCAGCAAATATCCAGTAATTATTGGAAGCCAGTTAAGGCTCCTGAAGAAATGTCATTTTGCTTTCTATGTAGTGTGCAAGGAAGTTATAGAAAGAGTTCAGATTTAAAGTGGTGCCAGCACAAATAAGCAAAGAGAAATGATAAAAAGTGATACAGTTGTCTGTGTATGTTTGAATGTTTTCCTTGTATGAAATGACAAGAGTAAATAGGAAGAATAAACAGAAAATTTTGGGGGGGTTGTTACCATATTGAAGTGAGATGTAGATTACATAGGATAAGGTGCAGAATTTTGATGTGTTTGTGGATTAGTTTCCCAATTCAAAAACTTTTGTGAGAACTGCATTTGGAGCAGTAGACTGATAATTCACGTAAACCCTGCTCAAGTTTCACACAAATTGACAAATAATAAATATGCTTATTTTTCATATTGTTGTAGCTTGACTGAACTTTCTTCTGCTGAAGATATACTTCCCAGGTGTTTGTACTGGTGAAGTTTAATCAATATTCTTATAAATCAGAAACCTGGCAGTTACTTCTTTTTTCATTTCATTTGTGTCTGCTTCGTAACGGTGGTATTGCATGAAGGGACTGAAGCCCGTTTGTAAAGAGATTGTTGAGGTGGATATGCACAAAATACATGAAGGCCATGTTGTTTTCAAGTTTGTGCCCAGTTGTTTTAAAATTAAACTAAATATTGACATTAAGAAGTAATATTTAAATATAGTATAGCACAGGGGAGAACTTCACAAGGGATTTATCTCAAAGGACAGAAAATACAGGAAATTGTTATTCAGAAGAAGGCAAGAGCTCAGGTAGCCTTGTGTCTGTTTTTTTTTTAACTGCTTTTTATGACCCACCTTTGATTGATCTCCTGAAGTATCAAAGCATGAATTGCAAGCATGGCTGGGGGAAAGACAGATAAAAAGAAACAAAAAATGATAGTAGTTTTGTTTTCATTAAGTTGTGCTGTCGCAAAACCTTTGAAAGAGTACGAAGACTGTTAAATATACCTCTATTTTAAGATAATATTCTTAGTAAAAGACAGATAAAAGGTATTCTTCTCTTGAGGATAAAAAAAAGGATTTGAGAAATGTCTTTCTGCTGTTTGTGAGAAAGTACAGAGTGTTTTCCTGGGAAGTCTTGGTTTTGGCAGGATTTGGCTTGCACCTGGCACAGTACTAGTGTTCGGGTCTGGCAGTGCACCCTTATTTTCCTCTGCTGGCTGTTTGCCACTCTCACCTATGGGCTGGGAAAATGTCAGTATTTGTTCTGTAGCTTTTGGCTAATAACTTCCTTATTGTTGTTATTTTTCTATTCTCTCTGGTAAGTACGATTTTATTTGCACAAAAAGCAAAATAAAAATAAAAAAATACTTGAATCAGAAAATACCATCTGCTTTTGTGCAGTCTTGATCTGCCACCTTTGTTTTTATTTTACAGTTCTTTAAATTTTGCCTGCAGCTTATAGATATAAATCAAGGGAGCCATGCCTTTTCTAATTAAATTAAATAAGGTAGAAATCCAGAAAAGCAATGATGATCTATTCCAAAATATTCCTCATTATGCACAGTTTTTGCTACAATCCTGAGGTTTCTCAGATTTTAAAAATTCAAATAATTTAGGATAATTTATGGGGATATAATCTGGTTCATGTTAAATTATTTTTCTCCCCTCTTTGCCTTGTTGATGCAACATTGTTAGTAGGGGAGCAGTTCAGGAATTTGATTTCACTGTTGTTCAGTAGAGAACTCTGATCCTTGCTGAAGCAACGTAGTAATAGGCAAAGGCTAGTGAGAAGGGACTGAAGTATGGGTAAAATTAATTTTAAGTAAATAATATCTAGAAATTCAATAAATTTTTGATAAAACTTCTGGGCTGGTAAAGCAGTTTACGGTTCCCTCCTCTCCCCTTTTTCTTACTGCCACAACTGAAGAGTCAAGGTCTTTGTCAATGCTCTATTGTCAATGCAATAAAGTATTCCCAATTAAAGGTACCGAGGTTTCTCAGTCCAGCTCCGTGTGTGACAGACTATAGAGAAGAGAAGCCAGGAAAAAGCCCTTCTCTCTCTGAGCAGTCATCCCTGACCCTCAGTGTTTGATACCTTCCTGTTCAGGAGACGTGTTACGCTCTAGCATCTGGTTCACCAGGTTTGCTGAACACGTGATAACATCCTCTTCACCCTTCTATGCTTTGAGACCTCTTGATAGTTTCCCCAGCCTTCATAATGTTGCTAATGAATTTCTGAATGCCATGTCATCTATGTGTCACCCAGAAATATATGGCACAGCATGTACTGGAGTTATTAGGGGTGGGTGTTCATAAACTCAAATGATTCAGATGATGAGGAGAAAATTATATTTTGACATCCTTGTGTATGTAAAAGAATTTTAAAAGCTTTGTGTTCATAAAAAGTTACAGAAAATGAGTCCAAAAGTATCCAGCACAGCTGCCGCTTATAGCAGTTGTTGCTTTTGATACCATTTATGCCTTTTCATGTAATGAAAGAGAGACGACATTACTGAGGGAGAATAGATAGCAGTGGACAGAATTGTCTTGCAAAGCATTTATCTGCTGTGATTCCTCCACGCCGTCATGTTTGGAAAAATGCCCCATTTGCATGAGGTCTAAGGGATTCTCTTCAACCTTCAAAAGAAGCCTTAGTTATGCCATTTACAGGTTCCTTATTTTTGCAAGATTCATAGTATTCTTGCAGTGTTGGCTTTCTATTTTTGTGCAAAAGATGTTACAAGTTCTATAATGACTTAGAGATATGTCTGTGTCAAAAGGCAGCACGGATGATGGGGCAGTTAGGGTGACCCTCTTACCCCAGTCCATCTTTCCACTTCAATATTTGACCTTTACAGTGCTTTTTGAGAGTTGCCAGACAGATACTGACTGCATTTCAGTAACTGGTGATTATAATAATAGTCTTGGAATTGCTGAACACAGTAGCTATATTTTTCAAAGATCAGAAATCAGATTGTCAGTGTTTTCCATCTGGTAAAATTAGAAAGCAGAGAGTTCAAATATGGTTTTTTTTTCTATCACTCCAAACCAGCCATAATTCCCATTAAAATCTGACGGAGAATATTTACTATTTTTTACTGTTTTACTAATATTTCCCACAGCTCCTTAAAATACTCCAGAAGAATAACAAACAACCGCTCTGAATACCACCTTTTCAGGCAAGCATGCAAATCTTCAGATTAAGTCAATATTTAATATTTGTGAAAGATCTCTTTAATGAAATTGTCAGTTGTATTAAGGCATATAGGTAAAAGAAAAGAAAAGTAATAGGACCATTTCCTCAGCTCAGCCATCCTGTTTGGGATTCCTAGATGAGTAGGATTTGAGTTCTGTTACCATGTGCCACAGTTTTAGCAGCTGGCAGAGCATGGGGAAACAGGAACTAATTGATTAGTCTTCTGAATAATAGTAGATCTCTCCACAATTACGATTCAAGCAGGGGGCTTGTTCATTCAATTTAGAGATTTTATTAGCGATTAAAAAAACTTAATATTTCGGAAAATGTCAAGGAAGAAAATTGCTTCCTCATAGACATGATATATTTTATTTCCCATCATGGGGCTTCAGGGAAAATGAGTCCATGTAGAGACTTGATACTTTTTTCTTTCTTGTTTCATGCCTGCTGCATAGATCTTTGCTGCAGTCTCGGAGCCTATTTGCTTCTCCAGGACATGTCAGTTCATAGGATATAAGTTTACAATTATTGACAAGAACTTTATACACTTTAAATGTGAGTGCACTGTTAGTAAAAAAGACTTTAAACTTGTTCTTTTTTACAAGTAGTCTGTAAGCAGGCAGTAGTAGCAAACAATCGCTTTCAAAAAATTATCTCCTTATGACTCTTGTATTTGTTGGTTAGGTGTCTTGTGCCAGGAAATTCAAGTCAATGGATGGTGTTGGAACCATTTATCTCTGAATTTTCTGTATTTGAATTCCTGTATTAATTATTTCATCCCTTGAATTGCTTGTCATACCCAAGATCTTTGAATGAACTAGTACTTTTTATTAATCTTTGCTCTCTTGCAGAAATATTTTTGTGTTCCGTGAATGTTCAGTTGGGATAGATACCTCAATTTCTTCAACCATTCCTAATGGAATAAACTCGTATGCATGTTCTTGAAAAGTGAGAATAATCAGAACCAAACTCCATTTCTAAATTACCAGGACACTCCACCATAACCTTCCTGTTCCTTTAATTCCCGTGCCGTACCCCAGGATTAGGAATTGAGCTTGCAGAATACTCACACAGATGAATTTCCAAAAAATGTCAGCTATAGGAACAGCAGCAATTTTTACAGGCCTTGAAATTGGCGTTGTTTCTTTAGGTTTTTTTTCAGTTCTGTTGATTGGAAAATTTGATACAGACATTAAGAAATAATGGAAGTCATCTTACTACTTCAGGGATCTGTAGATTTAAGTAAAGTTAATAAAAAGCTACATCTATATGAGTAGAATCTCTAGACATATATTTAAGTGCTGGGTTTGTCTCAGTGTTGCATAATAAACACAAAAGGAAATAGCAAATATAGACTAAGAACCATGACTAGTATACAGTGTAATTTTAGTGCATGGGTCAATTAGTATGTGTAAAGTAGTAGCAAAGTAATAATTTAAACAGTTAAGCTATGAAAAGGGGAAATGAGAAAAGTAAGACATCTGTTAGCTAAACAAATAGAGAAAAATAGAGTTCATTCCTTTATGCTTTGTCAAAATATGCTTAATTAAAATGAAGCATTTAATTGTAGTACTGTAACATGAAAATATTGTTGCAGCAATAATTTCACAGTCAAGGTTTGATGGAATTGCAAATACTCCCAGTTGTTGTATAAGCTTATTTATATTCTCTTTGCAAATTGGCACTGGATCCTGAGAACTCTTGATGCACTGAGACCAAACTTTAAAACGAGAAGCATTACATATGTAGCCCAAAAGAAGCAGCAACTGTATAAATATTAGCTGTCTCTTGCAGCGCAGAATTAGAAATAGATTGCTCTTCTAACTTCAATAGTAGAAACAGAGTGCATTTTACCGTGGAATTCATGGGTGACTGCTTTTATCAATGCTCAATTGAATTTCCCTATTAGCCAATAGTTCCTCTATTTGAGTGGCCTTTTAAATTTATTTCTTAAAGAAACATTTTAACTTAATCCTGAATTATCACTTGGTATTTAAAAGGAGATATTGAAAAGGTGCATATAAAAGTTTTGGTTCTGTTAGCAAAAGTTTATGTGCAATTATTTGAATGATTTCCAAATCTGAAACCTGAGGGTGCTCTGGGCTATTGCTATTCCTTTGCAGATATTCCCTGGCTTGTTTGTCTGTGCTGATGCAATAGTGATAGAGAGAGTAAAATGGGAGAATAAACCTATATGCCGTCAAGCAAATGGTTTGTAGTTTTAAATTGTAGGAATAAATAGGGACTAGGATTATAGGTGTGAGAGCTCAAGAAACCCTTTTCGTGTCAAGTGATGTAGCTGCTGAGCCCCTGGGGAAGATCCAAGAACTTCCATTCCCCTTGAATCATGGCCGTGGAAGGAAAGCCAGCCCTCACCCTGTCCCTCCAGGAGCAGTGCGTTAGGCTCCACTCAAGTAGCAAAAATGATCATTTTGCCTTCTTTGTTTGGGGACACACAATGTCTCAACTGAGATGAAGGTGTGAAATGGCTACCAACAAAATAGTCTTTTCTTTTGACTGCTGTTTACTAGTGTGTCTGCTTGTAGTTTGGGTTCTCTAGGGAGATGTCAGCAAATAAGGAACATCTCCCAGTATCTCTCTGCTGCATTTACTGCAGACCTGCTGTATTTCAACGGAGGGGAGAAAGTCACATTAGAGTGGCAGAACTGAGCTTTTACTGAGCATTACTGAGTTTTTACTTTGCATGTAGATGTTTCTGTAAGTTCAGCCAGTGTGAAGACACAGGTTTTGGTATAGTAGAGCTGAATTAACTCACAACATTTGCCTAGAAGAAATTTGAGGCAGCTCATACAGCTTCTGTTTTGTTTTTTTTTAACCTGAAATTGCCCTTCTTCACATTTTGAATGCCTGAAACACTTTGCTTTTCCTGTTTCTCTCTAGTTCCAAAGGCCATATGATTATTCACCTCCTTTTCGGTTTGGAACAGTCCCAAATGGAAGCACAGAGAGGAATATCAGAAACAACTACCCTGATATGCACCTTTACATGACGAAGTATAATCAGAAAGGAGTTGAAGATGCCTTGGTCAGCTTGAAAACTGGGTAAGCTTTTCCCATTAGTTTTAAAGAATACTGAGACTTTGCAGAAAATGAGAAATATTGATCTGTACTTACAGTGATACTGAACAGACTGATGTCGGGCATGCTCTGTGCTACATGGCTCTTTTGGTTTTTTTCCAACTGCACTGTACAGATATCAGAAAGGGAAAGGATTGCCTGTGATTTGTATGACTATTTTAAAATTGCATGAAAGCTTTAGTGTCCTATATAAAATAGATTCAAAGGGCAGAATTAGTATTTCTCACATTTAAAGAGAGATGATACAGATGGACCTCGATTTGCGTGGGGGCTCAACACAGAATATATTTTGTCCAGTTCCTCATTATCTTTGCAGAACTCTCTCTCATAGGAATGTGCTTTCACAGGGAGAATTTCTGACAAAGCTTGTTTGCCTGGGCAGTTTACAACTACTTGTTATTTCTTTTCAACCTCCCATCCCTTTGGTATGCTTTTAGGTCTACTCTTACATTTTCTTCACTCCTCTAATCAGCATGGCGCCGTACAGTTACTGTCAGATCTGAAGTATTGACTTTGTTCATAAAATCTGTACAGATTAAATAGTCTCCAATGTACTATCTAATCCTGCTTCTGGGAATCTTGGTAAATATTGTGGCAAATATTCTTGTCCTTCTTCCTCAAGATCTGAGATTTAGACTTGAGTGCCATCCATCTCTTACTCTCTCTGAAGTAGCTCATTCTGCCTGGTTGGACAAAGACTAAATTTTCATTCTTAATCCTCAAAAGGCATGAGAGTTCCTCACTACTTGTATTAGTATTCATCTTGGGGACAGGAATGTGTTAGCTCTAGTAATCTTTTCTAAACATATAGGCTTGATAATTGCATGTGTATTTTTGTTAATAATACTGGATTATAATAATCATAATAATCATAATTTATCAATATAGTTTGTTTAGGTGAGAAGGCTAAGTTACCCAGAGTGCATTTGAGTACATCTACCCTAGTGGCTGTTTCAAGGCACGTCTCGCCTGCTATTAGTTATGGTGAACATGGACACATTTCTTCCAGTAGTAATTTAAGCTGTTAGTTATAGTGCTTTTTTGGGAACTGCTTGTCCTTTTAATTGTTACTCTCCTTCTCCCAGACATGTAGGGGATTGTAACATATTTCTTATCCGAAAAACCCTGAAGTCCCCAAAACTTTCCTTAGAGTGCAGGTTCCCATCTTTAAAACGTTATCCTTCCTTCCCTTTCCTTCTCTGCTGTCTCCATGTTGCTGTCTAGAGTCACTCTGTCATCAGGTCTCAAGGCATTCTCAGCTGGCATTTCTAAGCATGGTTTGTCCCATCCTATGACAGACGTGTAGCATAATGTGAGATGAACCTCACCCAAGGTCTTCCAAACCGGGGGCAGAGCTCCTGCTCTGACCGAGCCTGTGCAAGTTGTATTTCCTGGGTGACAGCTAAATTATGCATTGTAGATAGTCAGCTGAATGCTACCGTTCCTGCTGTGAATTTTTAAAGAAGCTATCCTTAATTTCAGCCATTGCTAGGGCTTGTTCAGTTGGGTTGATAGTTTATTTAGAGGATGTATATTCCTTGTACTTTTCACCAACCATTTGAGTTACTGAAAGCCCTGAAAAACTGCTGTTAGCTTTAAAATCAGGACACCTGTCTGACACATAAGCATGAAATGGGGGGGCTACCTGACTGCAGGGGAGTTCAGGACATTCACTAAAACTCAGGCTGGCTGCTCTTGTGCCAGCTGCTGCTTTTCCTCGGAAGCTTTAGTCCTTTTGACAGCATACGCTATTCATTTTTTATAGATAGATATTTTTTTTTTCCCGTTGGAATTTCTTTCCTCTTCTAAGTGATTTCTCAGCGTGGACACCCCAGGTGTCTACTGTGCTCCCCGTGACTGACATTTCTGTAGCAGATGGTGCAAATAAGCTACCATGTGCAATGTTTTCCAGATCAATATAAGTAACTGCTACATACAGCTGTGCTCCTCAGTATTTTGTCTGATGGCACCTACAGAAGGATTAAACAGCATGCCGTCAGCTGCTCAAGTTTCTCACAATGGAAGTGTCATTTTGTGTTTGCTTATGTGGCAGGTTTGGACATTCCAGCAGGAAGAGTAGTGTCAAGTGGGCTTACATATTCCCTGCCTTCAGTTTCTGTTGAGCAAGAAGACCCTGTGCAAAGATCCAATCGGTGTGGTAATTGTGGGCAGTAAACTCAGTTACAGATCAGGCAGCATCATTGTACCTTCTTTTTGCCTCAGAGCAGTTTCTGTCTGGAAAGAAGATTTCATTTAGCTGTCCAAACTGATCAGGCTGTCATCCTCACCTGCCACTGTCACCTTGAGCCCACCCAGATTTTCCTTTTTGCTAAGCCCTTCGGTGAGGATGTGATGGAAGTTCCCATGGGTGACAGTTCCAGGGTCTGATAAAAGTGTTCTGAATGAAAGAGATGAGACTGTAAACTGTGGGACTAATAACTTGCATTCTCTGTAGAGAAGACAATAGAAAAGCAATAATAGGTATTTGGTCATGTATTGCAACTACTTGCCTCTTTTTCTCCAGACTCATATTCTTCAAAACAGCATTTTTCAATTCTACAAAATTTTCTGTTCTGTTCCTCAGTATACATATCTGTTTCCTCATTTTTTATATACCTGCTCTCAGTCTTCTTCGTTTTTCCCTCGTGAATTATTTGACCAGATTGTTTCTTCCAAGTAAAGTTTGCTCTTTCATCCTTATCTAGACTTGGTCAAGCTTTCACTTTCCCTATTTTGCTTGATCACGTGATTTTTAATACATCTTGCCCCATTGAGGCCACGTTGTCGCTGCTCTTTTCGGGATGACCTGTCTCTCCTTCCTCAAACTGCTTCTGCTTCTGTTTTCCTCTTCTCTGTGTGTGTGTTCTGCTTACCTTATTACAGCTATTTTGTCTGTTTTCATCTTCATTTCTTGTCAAAGCTATTCCTATACTTTTATCTTTTTTATTTTTTCATCTTCATCATTGGTAGCATGCAACAAGCAATTTTCCTTACATCTCATAAAGCTTGCTGCTCCTGCACAGCTTTTTGAAGATGAACTACTTGGTAATTATAGGGTCATAGACTATAGACCTGGGAAGGACTAGAACAGATTGTCTGGTTGATACTGCTGCTGTGAGTCAAAATAAATACTACCTGTGTTATTCCTGAAGAATGTTTGTATAACCTGTATGTATTTCTAATCTCAACTTTAAAATAATTTTTGCTTAATTGAAGACATAAGATTTAGTCCCCCTTTAATTCCTTATGTATATTGTTTGATTCTAATTTTAAGTAGGGGCAAAAAATACCAGCAATCAGGCAATACTTAATAACTGAATAATGCTACACATGTGGCATCTGGTCTACATAGAATCAAACCATAAAGTAGTCTCCTGCCACAGTTTAGTCTGGTTTTATTGTATCGCAAACTCTTAAGTCTTTTGCTCAGCTTTAATTATTGTTAGCCTATTGGGATCTATTGGGAATATCTTGTGTTTAATACATAAAGTTATTGAATTGAACTGGAAGGAGAAAGAGGGAAGGAGACAAACATAAAGCTACAGATGCACAGATTTCTCTAAAATTTATTTTTTGTTGGAGATGTGCTTGTGTTCCTTTCCTCATTCTGAAAACATATTAAAAAATAAACTGGATTTTTTATCTTGCTTTCTCACAAGACGTGAAAAATCAGCTGCCTGAGTCCAGTTCCTGACACAGCCAGGAAAAACCTCAAAGGCAGAGATATGTATAGGAATGTGTCTAAAATAAATTATGTTCCTGCCTTTATTTCCTGCCTGGTGTAGGGGTTAGATGGGTCTTTTGTTGGAGCAGAGATGAGTGTGCACACATTTGTGTCCAGGAAGCCTTGAACAAAATACCTAGCGCCTTCGTGTTTTCATCTTTCAGAGGTGAACTAATAGTGTTTCAAAAATTAGCTTAAAAGGAAAGCATCTGCATTTGTTTTTTTTAATTAGAACAAACAACTTCACTACATGAACAATAGGCTTGGACCTGTCTTGTTCAATTAACGTTGGAAGTGTTTAAGATCATTCTAGAAAATAATCAACTGGGAAACACTGCAAATCAAAATGGAAATGAGATTTTTGCTTTAGACTGGCATTGACGTTGTACCTCCTCCTTCAAGTGAATCCCCTCGGGGGGGTTCATTGCAGCTTACTCATGACGGTTTGTTGCCATCAATGGTGAAGGCAAATTTATCAGCTATTTTGGCTTTTCCCCTTTGTTTGATAAGAAATCAACCTTTATTTCTGAAAATATTTTTTAAAAAATCTATAAAGTCTCAGTAATATCTACCTCTTGTTATTAGTGTCTTATTTCTGTGATTCACAGATGCAGTTCTCAGCTGCTGAAACACCATTTGAACAAACAGCAGAACTTGCTCTACTCCATTTATTAATTAAAGGTATCAGTTTGCAACCAGGCCTGTTAAAAAGGAGCAAAATTCATGCATCTTGCTATTGAAGTACTACTTACTTTTTTTCAAAATTGCAAATTATTGTACCTGCTTCAATGCAATTTAGTACTGAAAGTAATCACAGTCTTATAAGCTTGTCAAAAAAATGTACCAGTGTTTTTCCCTAAATTTCATGCATTGAAGGGATCAGCTGAACCACATGTACTGTGCTACCTGCAGAGCTTCGGATTGCTCTTTAGGCAGGAGTGAGCAGCTCAGGAATTCTTCAGAAGTTTTTTTTTTTCCTTAATGAAAACAGAAATGGCTGTTATTTTCCTGCGCATTATTCAGAAGAGTAGAGTCTGTAAGGCATTAGCTAATGTATTCTTGGCGGGTGAAGTCCGGCTCTGGTAGAACTGTGGTGGCTCCTCTGTGTTCTTTAGATATTTATTGATCAAATAAAGTTCTAAAAACGCATTGCAAGCATTTCTGTCAATGCTGTGTTCAACAAATCTACATTTCTGGAATCCTCTGTATCTGAGAGACAGATCCTATTGATTTTGCTTCT